TGACAGTCTGGCAAAGAACCCAGAAGTAAAGACAGAAAAAAATGGAACATGCTGTAGAGAGAAAAGAACAAAAAAGAAGAGAAATAAAATGCTGGAGGTGCCGTCTCCTCACTTACCAACTCCCCAGCCTGCTGGCCGCTTTCCAGCCCAGGCTCTGCAAGAGAGTCCGGGGGATAGGACAGTGTCATGCAGACAGCTCCCCACTTAGCTTAGAGATGACCTTCTCTCTGAGCAAACATTCTTCCATTTAAAAAAAAAAGAACCTCACCAAGTATATAGCATAATAAACAAAGGTGAGTGGTAGAGAGGCAGAAAGAAGGCCCAGGAGCCCAGCGGTGAAGCCACTTCCCTGCACTAAGGGCGAGTGTTTAGGTGAAGATGACCAGTTTGTCCACTTCTCCGGCCGCTCTCCCATACTCCTAATATCATTTCGCCTCTCCATAGGGTCTATCGCGTTAAGAGACTGTATTTCTATGGGGGCTGATTCCATCTGTGTGTTCCCAATTACTGGCTCAGCGCACAGCCGTTCCATAGGATGAAATCCAAGAATGGGTTTTAATTGGCTATTTTTTAAGAGTTTATTTTTTCAACGCACAATAACCCTGAAAGATTTCGTTTCCTCCGTATTCTGGACTCAACTTCACAGAATGTGAGAGAACATTCCACATATATATTTACCCATGCACACATCTATTTGAGGAGAGAAAGAGAAACATCAGATTTGTTTGTTTATTACTTATATAGTTATTTAGGCCTCATGGAGAAAGAAATCCAAGTTCTGCAAATCTTCCTTAACGCTTTTTAAGTGATGTTTATTTATAGCCTATCAAATGGGCATTTATATAGTTGATACATTTTTATAAGGAAATATGCCCCAGAGAGTAGATGACCTGACCTGTACTGTTTTTCTGACCAGTAGAATACGATCCCTCCACTCCCATCATATTTACTACTGTGTAAATCAGTGTAAGTGGAGTCAGCTAATAAACTTAGCCAGAGGTCTCACACTGAAGTCCATAACCTACAAATCTTTGCTCTATAAAATATGACAAGTTGAAAAAGTTAGGTAGATGTGATAGCAGCCCACGATCCCAGTCTTTGCATTCAATCAATGAACTGTATTTAAAATTGCCTTCAGTATGGAGAAGAAACATTTGGTAAGTCCGCGGGTAAGTATTTCATTATAATATTTTTAGTAGTAAAACAAAATTGAATTTAAATCTCTCTTAATAGTGTGGTTGGCTTTATTGGATTGCCAAGTAAAATAGAGCCCTTTAACCTACTTTGTGATGACAGCATTAAAATCAACCTTGGGTTCCATTCTCAAAAGAGACATAACATCCTTTTAATATTATTTGCCCAAGATTTCCACTGATACAAACAGTGGAATAAATAAACAGTGTTTAACTTCCCTTTAAACACCTTTGATGGAAGCAGGACTGGAATGGGTATTTGTTTTCCTTGAAAACACTGAAGACTTTAAAGAAAAGCCAATATTAGAACAAAAATGGCTTTTTTAATTATCATAAGTGTGTATAATTAAAAACTTTGCTAAGTTTCTCTTCATGTACTCTTGGAAGGAACCTTAAGTCCCCTCTCTCATGGAGAAATGTCTACTCCCAAGAGAAAATTTTCTTTCTTTTTTTTTTTTTTTTGAGACAGAAACTCAAGCTGTTGCCCTAGGTAGAGTACTGTGGCATCATAGCTCATAGCAACCTCCAACTCCTAGGCTCAAGTGATTCTCCTGCCTCCACCTCCCAAATAGCTGAGACTACAGGCACCCACCACAACGCCTGGCTATTTTTTTGGTTGCAGCCGTCATTGTTATTTGGTGGCCCCTGGCTGAATTCGAACCCACCAGCTCAGGTGCATGTGGCTGGCGCCTTAGCCACCGGAGCCACAGGCCCCAAGCCAACCAAGAGAAAAATATTATCAGACAATCTTTTCATTCCTTAGTCACTATGGCCCATGAAAGAAACAGAAATTACAGGGTGGGTAGGACCCTGAGAATCTCTTTGATGTTTACATTCTTGAATTTAACAACAGAGAAGTGTAAAAAGTCACAGTTCACACAAGACCCAGTTCTCCCCTCCTCTTTCCCTCCCTCCCTCCCTCTCTCCCTCACTCTCTCTCTGGATAAATTTAACTCTAGGGGAGAAGTATTTGAAAAACCATTTGGCAGCAGCTCCAGACTGTGGTTTCTAACTAAGATCTTCCAGTAAAAAAGCAAACAGTTTGATCTCTACCTGAAGCCTATGAAATCTTACTCATCTTTAGACGCTGATGTCCAATATCGCCTGATCCCCTTGTTGAAATTCACTGTCCTCCTCACTGGTCTTACGGCTCTTTGTCGATGGCCTACAGCATTTCCCCATTTCCTCCCCAGCTTCCAAATAAACTGCTAACACCAGAAACGGTGCTGGACTGCTACACCCTCTGAGCAGCGCCTTGCATATGAGAAATAATTGTTTGCTAAAATAAATTAAATTCTAACATCCATATATCCCTTAATATTAAAATATTAAAGAAGAATGCGTTTATGAAGTATGAAGAGAACGGCAGTCTGCAAAAATGAATCCTCATATATATTCTATTTACCCAACAAGTAAGAACATATCCTTAAACAGTTTAGAGTAAACTGTTAGCCAACAGCCTTCAGGTAATGAAAATCTGTGCACTGGGAATTTCTGTGTATTTTCTGCACTGCTAGTTCTCATGTTCATGAAAAATGCATGGAAGTCTTGGACTGGAAAGCTCCTCACTGGTATATCCAGACCCTAATTTTTCTTGGGGTTTCAGACATTCATTCGTTTTTATTTTTATTTTTTAGCTGGCTGGGGCTGGGTCTGAACCCGCCACCCTCAGTATATGGGGCTGGTGTCCTACGCACTGAGCCACAGGCACTGCCAGACATTCATTCTAAATATAAGCTTACATAATGATAGGCAATTTAATGTTTAAAACAGTGTAAAGGGCCTTGGATTCAAATCAACACATGATATAATCGAATAATAATAAAAAAAGGAAATTGCAGAAGCCCTCCAATAGTTAACGGTCTTCCTTGTGGCAGTTAACACCCCTGTGTGTTTAAAAAATGCTGAAGCACAACTGAATCTTTCTGGAAGATTTTCATTCACTCATTTAACAAGTATTTACGGAAGACCAAGGACATGCCTGGTCCTCTGCAGGGCAATGGATATACCACCTTGCAACAAGGCAGACACAGCCTCCATCTTCACTGAGGTTACAGTTGGCACAGGGAGTCAGATATTAAGCAGATAACCAAGCAAATTACTTCTTGAATAAGTTGCTGCAGCTCGGCACCCATAGCACAGTGGTTATGGCAACGACCACATGCACCAAGGGTGGCAGGATTGAACCCGTCCCCGGCCAGCTAAACAACAAGGACAACTGCAACCAAAAAAAAAAAAAAAAAAAATAGCTGGGCATTGTGGCGGGTGCCTGTAGTCCCAGGTCCTTGGGAGGCTGAGGCAAGAGGATTGCTTAAGCCCAAGAGTTTGAGGTTGCTGTGAGCTGTGATACCACAGCACTCTACTGAGGGTGACATAGTGAGACTCTGTCTCAAAAGTAAATAAATAAATAAATTGCTGCCTTGGACAGAGGGCTGGGCTGAGAGATAGTGCTCTAGACAATGACAGTTTATGTGGATACTGGATTCTCAGTCAGGAAAGAACCACAGGTGAGGCAGTGATCCCCAGTGCTGGAATAGAGTTGGCCATGACAGGGGTGGTGTGAGAGGGAGTTGGAAGGAGGAACACTGCCCAAAATATCTGGGGTCTGGTTGTATGAAACATTTAAGAGTAACGCGAAGAAAGGAGTTAAACAGGGAGTTACATGGCCAGGTATTTTCTGATATCCAAATCACGCCAAATACTGCAGCAACGCTAGAATTTTTAATCTGTAGATACACCCTAAAATATAAATTGTACCTCTACAAAACAGGGCATTGCTACACAGAATAATCAATACCAAATTCAAGTTACGTGCATAGTAAGACACAATAGGTCTCTGATTATGCGTGTGTGCTCATGAGTAAAAAAATGCACACATTATTCTGTCAACATGTGAAAAGCATCACGACACCAAAATCTGAGAAGGGTTCAGGTTCACAAAGGACCTGGATGCAGGAGAGACCACTGACAAGGTCAAGTGCAGATCTCGTTTTTAAGTAACTTACAAATTTCATAAAAATTAAATATGGAAAGAATAACTTGAAAACGTTTTATTTACCACATCAGGCTTAAAAGTAAGGAGTCTTTAAAAACATTTCCAAGCCACTTATAGATCCATGTGCCTGACACAGGTATTGATGGGAGCAGGTTCAATGCCTTGGTGCCTAATTCAAGAGTCTACCTGGTTGTCCAAGTTCATAATGAAGGGAAAAAACCTCTATCATTCCAAACCTTCTGGAATCTATGTCGAACCACGTACCCTCTTTCAGAACTCGTACCCTACGTACGAAAGGGAACACAGACATCTCTGTCATCCTTACTGAACCATCCCTCGCTCTTGGTTCACCTCGGATCTAAGTTATTTCCATTCCTATTTTTACAAAGCACAGCATGAGTCGTCTTTTGGTCATTTATGCAGCATGAGCTCCATTAGATCATTTATTAGATTATTCTGATGTATCCTAACAATTACAAAAGATTCACACCCTTGCTACAAATCTGCACGGTATGTTTTAAACATATGAGAATGTCAAAGTTATATGAACATATTTTTTCATCTAAAAATGTGTATAAAGGGTCTGCTCTGAACAGGGCCTGAAGAAATGTCTTCTCCATCTACAAGACACCCTACAGCAATCTGGGGTCATTGTGATGGGGGGCACAAAACCTGTGGCCTTCCCACGAACAAACTCTCTACATGTGCAGAAGAAAAAAATTATAAAATATATCTGGTAGGTGCACGGGCGATCACTGCATAATTTTTTCAACTGCACTGTATGTTTGAAAAATCCCCTAATAAAATATTGGAAAATTTAAAAACAAACAAATAAGTAAATAAGCATAATTTCTCTGATTTAAATAATTCATATGAAGCCCAGACAGTAAATGTATGTATTTATGCACAAGAGAGTTTTATTATAGACAAATCATATGAAGGTCAGACAATTACGTTAGTAAACTCATCCCACGGTCACCTCCAAAGTCCTCCCCTTGGCCATCTGTTGACTGCAGTGATAGTCAGCAATGAGGTCTGTAGCCACTTTTTCCAGGATAAGTTCACAAACTTAATTGTCAAGCCTCATATGACAACAGTTCTGATGGCCACTCCAGAAAAACAGTTCAAAATTGCTTTGAACGGGGAGGGGGGTGGCCAGGTGGAAGGAGGGTAATGGGTAGGACCTCACCTACCGTGCATATTGCAAGGGTACATGTCAAATCTATGAAGAGTAGAGTGTAAATATCTAAACACAACAGTTAAATAAGTGAGGTGAAGGCTATGTCAACCAGTTTGATGTATACATTCCGAATTGTATATAAAATCAGTACATTGTGCCCCATCAAGGCAGTAATGTACACAGTTATGATCTAATCAAAATAATTGCTTTGAAGGGTGGACCAGGCACTGGCATCAGGGCACAGCTTCCCAAGGGGAGTTACTTCAAAGGTGACCAGTGTGACAGTCAGCACTGAGGGATGTAGCACTTTTTTCTAGGACAAGTTCACAAACTTAAATTGTCTGACCTTATGCATCATCCCTAGATTTAATATCAGTAAATATCATACTATATCACACCTAGATAGAGTAGCCACTGAAATCCTGCCTGTACACTGGTTTCAACAAACCTTTCATTATTTCATTCAGCAAATACATAACAAAAACTATGTCCCTAGCACTATGCAGAAGATTACAGTGAACCAGATAAATTAGATGCATCCTTCATGTAAACGCATAAAATAATTATAACTTGTAGCACCTATTAAGAAAGGAATAAGCATTTGTGAAAGCACTGACAACCCATGAGACTAAACCCAAAATAAAAACAGTATAGGGTTCTACATACCATCGAACTTCTTAAAAATTTCCTTTAAAAATGGAGTTTGTAAATAGAACTGACACCTGTTCAACTAAATTTTATTTCAGCATTAAATGAATAAACAAAAAACAAGAAGAAGAAATACACATAAAAGATCTGTACATCGGTTTTATAGATATGCATGTTTTACTCCATTTGAAAGGTAAGAATTTTCTTTATGCTAAACTTGTGAAATAGAAGGTCCTCCTTGGAGATGAGCAGATAAGGAAATCCTCCAAAAGCATTTGGAAAACACTCAAGTTAGGTTGTGAACCTATGTGTCCCCCCAGAGTGCATACCTTGGAACTTAAGATAAAAGGTGACAGTGGAATATTAAGAGGTGGGCCCCTTAGGAGGTGATTAAGTCCTAAGGGCACCAGCCTCATGATGGGATTAGGACACTTATAAAAGGTCTTGAGGGAAACAGCCAGGCCCCTTCTGTCCTCCCACCTTCTCCCAGTGAGGAGGCAAGGCTTCTGCCCTGCTAGGACCCGGCCCTGAGACACCATCGTGGAAGCAGAGAATGGTCCTCACCAGACACAAATCTTCTTACACCTTGATCTAGAACTTCCCAGCCTCCAGAGCTGTGAAATGCATTTCTCTTATTTATAAATCACCCAGTCTCAAGTATTTTGTTAAAGCAGCACAAATGGACAGAGACAACTCCAATGAGGTAGGTCTGAAAACCGAAGGGGTTTCCAAATAATCAATGGCCTTATTATCCTTTTTCTTTCCTTTTTTTTTTTTTTTTGATTTGTGTGTTCACAAGGGCTTTATTATCTTTTGATACTGAACAAATTGCACACTCAAGTAAACAGACAGTGGGGTTGATTAAATACACCAGCCAGTTCTTTCTCAAGAACCTACGTCCTATTACCTAATTCTAAAGTAACAAGTCTCCCCCTGCAATGCCATATTGTTTTACCTGTTTTGAATGAAAGGGAAAAATCAAAGGAAAATGCTATTACATTTTCTCTTCATGTTAAAATTTCATTACATTCGAGCACCACTTAAATTCTCATAGAAATAAAACATTACATTTCCTGCTTCTTTTTTTTTTCTTTTTTTTTCAAATCAACTTTGACGCATTTTACTTCTGTTTCTTGGTGTTTGTCTTTAAGTGGGCAGGCTGCAAGCAGGAGAGACAGAGATTCCGACTGCGGTCTCTCTGTGCACTCAGAGTTGAAGTGTTCTGTTTGTTGTCTCCTGGGAGAGGAACATCCCTAGTAACAAATGGGAATACGTTTACTTCAGGGCTATTTTAATAACCATCAGTAGGGAAGATGGAATTCTTATAAAGGAGCAAGTCTCTCTCTCTCTCTCTCTCTCTCTCTCTCGGCACTAGGATCAGCAATAATTTCCTCTTTAAAACACTAATGGCTCAGGTTTCATCATGTTAAAGTTTAATATACATTAAGCAGCGAACCACATGTTCAGCATCTCCATAAAATACCACCCAGAGTCCACTTTCAGAGCCCTAAAGATACGGCCAATGAGGGTATGTGGACAAACTGCCCTGAGTTTATGTGAAAATGTCATCATGCATGCTTTGAGACTGCCCCATCCATTTGTTGTAGAAACCATTAAGAAAGAAAGAAAAAGAAAGAAAGAAAGAAAGAAAGAAAGGAAGGAAGGAAGGAAGGAAGGAAGGAAGGAAGGAATGAATGAATGAATGGGCGGCACCTATGGCTCAAAGGAGTAGGGCACTGGCCCCATATGCTGGAGGTGGCAGGTTCAAACCCAGCCCCGGCCAAAAACTGTAAAAAAAAGAAAAGAAAAGAAACAAACAAACAAAAACAGACACTGTCCAGCAGCAATTTTAGCAAGGAACCTAATGTATCTACAAAGTATAAGGGTTTCTAGAGGAAGGAATTCCTGTGAATTCCAGACACATAAATGACATTCTAGAGGAGCAGGAGAGATGCTTACAAGATGCAGCCACAATAGCCCAAAAGGCCTGACTACCTGGAATAAGAAGATACTTTTATTTTAAAGAAGTTTAGTTCCTCTGTAGATAATTGAATAATTTTCTGAAATAAATAATTTTTCTATATTTTTAAAATGTAGGCCATTGATAAGAATAGCATTTAATATGCACAGTTTTTAAACCACTGGAGTTACTCATGATTTAAAGTGGACCATGGGCTTTATGTAAAATATCGGTTTTAATCTTCACAGTATCTCTCCTAGAATCCTCATCTTACACATGAGGACACTTGGAATTGAGTTGTTAAATAATTTGCGCTAGTAGATAGCACAGTAGTAATAGTTTGAATCTCAGTTTGGCAGAACTCACTCAACCTTTCACAACTTCTTCAGTTGACTGTCAAAATAAGTGGGGCTCACCAGTTTCAGACTGAACCTCAAAACAGTTTGGGAAATAGAGTGGGTGTCACCGACATGAGCACGCTGTGGAAGCACGACTTTGGACTCTTAGAGAAATGCACACACACACGTACAAATTTAAATTACAATTTGCCCTTTCACAAAAATATCTCTGAATTTCCATTATGAAATATTTGGGTAAACCTTGAAAGCAAAACCATAAGCATAAAGCATAAAAATAGCATAAAGGAATTGCAAACATTTTTCTCTTACGTGAATCCTTGCTTTTTTTTTTTTTT